TGAGACGCGAGCAAAAGGCCTCAGGAGTAGTAGTTCATTTATTGGAAGAAATAATGGGGATTAAATATTATGTACAAAGTCGGCTCATTGATCATCCGGGCTTCTATCATTCACGTTCCAGTATTGCTTGAATCGTTCTGCTTGTGTTTTCAGGCCGCATGGTCTCTGATTAGCTAGTGCGATCTACCTATGGCACGTAGTCAGAAGCAGTGACACGTATGCGCGTTGTTGAAGTCACCCATGAATTTTGATTAATCGCAGTTGTTCGAAAACTGTAACGCGTCGCCTCAGGGTACGCGTCCTCTCGTAGGCCCGGATCACCACAGATTGGCTGCGCTACATTTTCTTTCTCTCGAATTTATATTGTTTTCAGTGAATACCACATAATGACTGCTCGAACGGTCTATTCGTGGCCTCTATTAACGAGTTCCAAGAATGATTTGCTCAATGCTATCTTTTACGTCCTAGTCGGCTCATTTTCTGATTCCCATTCAAACGAAAAAACCAACCGCGGTGGCTAACAACCAGCGCTTAGTCGCACACTCCCATCGAAAATAACTTGCTTTCATTGGCCAGCGCGAACCTCAGGTCGCTTTTCGCAAACAAGACGGATCTAACATGCACTCTCGATTCACCGCAACACGTGTTTCGTTTGTATTCAAGAATCCTGGCTGGACCAAAATGTCGATCACCCATTAGTTGGAATCAATGGTTTTGAATGCTTCTGTAAGGACAGGAAGCACTGTGAGAAGAAAAAAGGGAAATGGAGTAATCACACACATCAACTCTTCTTGGTGTGGCAAGTTTGAAGTTCCTTTTGATTATTCCACTAATGGCATCGACTGTTTAGCTATTCAATGTTCCCCTACATTTTCGGGTTTTAAAAACACAATTATAAACCATTTTATGCATGGCCTTCTTTTATAGCCAATCTCATATTTCGTCCTTCTTTTATACATTTATACCGTCTTTCGTTCACCTGGTGGACGACAATCTCCACATTATTGTTTGGTGACTTTAATCACTCATCCGCTCAGACCAGAACCTCTTTTGGCCTAACTGATATTCGCCTATCCCCCACAAGAGGTGATCCATTTTTAGACAACGTAACTACTAAACACCCAGAAAATTTTGCCTTTAAACTCACAGCACCTGTTCCCACCAAGGTTGAAGCCTTGATTCTCATAAGACACACAGTATACTCCCGTTCCATTCAAAATACACTCACAAGAGCCAACCAAATCGCCTTTCGTCCTCTCAATCTTTCCTTAAGGAATACTCTTCCTTTGAAGCGTTCCATTAGTATAATTTCTCCGGGGTTTTCTCCCTGTCCCTCTCTACATAATGCAGTCAATCTACTAAAAAAACACTAAACCACATGTTTAATCTGTGCCACTATTTTGAAACTCTATTTGTCAGTAACCGCAGAATAGCATCTCCATTGTTGAAATCATTCGGAACACAGAAGGAAGGATTGTACATATCTAGAGACATCAGGGCTGTCAAGTATTATACCAACCGTGTAAAAGCTAAAGCCAAACGCCTCTCTGTGTCGTACACCTCCCAGCAATACAACAATAGTAAGCGCGTTTGGTAACGTATCAAATTTTTGTATGTGACCAAAGCCAAATACCGAATTTTGAAACGAATTTCGACAGTATCAAAGCAGTATTTATCCGATCATCAAGCAATGCCTTCACACCATTTGTTCTAGATGATGCCGTTCAAGTAAAGGCTGTTTCGAAAGTAGAAAACTGTCAAGTTTTTGCATACCATGAAAACCGCATCCACTGTTGGTCCCCATGGTCTTTCATTTTCCCTTCTGAGATATGGGACATATTCTCATGAGGAAACAGCATCATTTTTAAACACGTCATTAAACATCTGATGAATACGAGGCTGTTGGAAAACGATAATAATTGTTTCCATTCCCAAATCCTCTAATTCAACCGTTCAATTAAACTCTTCCGACCTATCGCCTTAACTTCTGTTGGGCTTAACCAAATAGAGCGTGTTGTCATTGCGCGCATTCAGTCCTCACTTGATGTCTCGTATGATCCTCATCAGTTTGTCTCAAACCAAACATACACGCTGTATGCAGTGTCCTCACTTGTGTATAAAACTGCCAAATCCTTGAATGAATCTACGAAATCCTGTTTGTTGTGTTTCTGAACTACTCATCTGATTTTGATCCCATTCCTCGTTCCCTTATTCTTCCTAACCTGGAGACCGTCAGTTTTTCTAGGAAGTTACTAACTTGGCTTGCCGATTACTTCTCTGGGAGAACTCCGTGTACCAGGTTAGGTCGGAAAAAATCCAAACCATCGGAGAATAATTCTAGGATACTCCAAGTTGCAGTCCTTTCCCCAAACTTACTTTCTACGTACAATAGCGACTTGCCTGCTAACGTCCCTACTTCTCTCTTCAAATAAGCGGACGATGTGGTTTTATGTTATTCCATCTCCGATTCTTCTGGTCTTTCACAATTTTCTGACAACTTTGAAAACGTTCAACAATTCTGTCACATAGGGCTACTCCTTTAATCCTTCCAAATGTTTTCAAGGTCCCTCTACATTATCACGTTCATCTTTCCCATCTGAACCGGTATCGATCGGCTCTGAACCAGTATCTTGAGTAAACTGCACTAAATTCCTGCTTTTCTATTATGCTAATCTTCATTGGACAGCTCACCTTCAACATATCGTCAAAGAGCTTCAACGCCTTCCTTTTTTCTCCGTAAACTTCGTCAGTTTCATATTAAACAATCGATTATTTCCAAATTTGTGTACCACTTTTTTTCCAGGAATTACTTTATTGCTCACCTGTTGTTTTTCCAATCTCCTCAAGAAAGATTTCAAACTGCTTTAACGTGGACTGACCATCATCAGCCTTGTCTGCTCAATGCCGGTGGAGAAGTTGGTAACTCACCTGTGCGAACGTCATTTGAATGCCTGTGAAAAGTTTGCACATAAAATTCGTATTCACTCCACACATCCGCCACACAGAGACTAAACTTCCTGTTGTCCTCATCTGTCAACTAGATCCCAATACCGTAGTGTTCTCTCTCGAACAAACATATATCGTAACTCTTCGATAGCCTCATTAGCGTGTATTCTAGTGAACAAAGAACAAGTTTTGATGGACTTTCTTAACAGTCTAGAGATTTAACTCTCTTTTCTTGCGATTTCTCCTTCACAAGTAACTTCCAATTTGTATATTTTTAACTGAAATGTAGTTATTAAAATAACAATTACACTAACAATAACTGATAACGATCCCACATCATTTCAGCCGCACTCAATCTTGAATACCCTGAATCAATGCTGCAGGTGTAAGTCTTAAAAACACAGAGCTTAAAATTGCGGTTTTTCTACAACTGCTACCGGGTAGTCAATTATTGAAATGTTAAACTACTGATTCACCAAGACTGAGGGACAAATAAGCTACAGTCTGATTAGATAGCTTGGGCAGTGTCTTTTCTTACACCTGATCTGTCGAAAGCATCTTGCCTCTTCTCACAGTTCATTCGTGCTATGTGGAATATATTTACGAAATTCAATATACGTTGTCTCTTGCATTTTCTAGGCGTAATCATTCCTAGCATAAAACAACGCCTTTACTCTTAGAAGGATGCACGAAATATACATTAAAGACTCGTGGATGAATTACATGTAACGAATAGTTAATGATCTCATTAAATGTACTTCTAAGTTATCCGATCTTGTAGCATATCTTTCGGATCTGTTACTTTTGACATGCTTTTCTAAGCTAAGCTTTTCCAATTCAAAATGTAAATTACCTCTCCCAGCGTTATGAAGAAGCATAACGTAAATGCCACCGTTTCACATTCATAGCGTCAAATGTTGATCATTGTTTCAAAAGAGTTCCACGGAAAAACTTTCAACAATAATCACTGCAAGTCATATTGCTCAGAACTACAAGACGCAGAGGTATTTCCGAGTCACGACATGCAAATGTGGCATGCCTAAATCTCACTAACTAAATCACGTGATCATCTAAACGAAAATGACTATCAAGCCTATCCACTCTGTGTGATCTTACGACCTCGATCAATGGGCTGCATGACTGTGCATCGATTTGAAATCTGACTGACTGATTGCCTCTGAATAAATCCGGGCTCAAGCAAATAGCTCAGATTAAATCAGGCACCAGGACGCAAACATTGGGCTATTTCAGATTGAACAAGCCTATCGACATGCCTTCGTATTACATCAATGAACATAATGTACAATGAATGTAATCAAAATGAATCATGTGCAGCTGGAAGGAATTCTAACTCTTGTAGCGCTCAATCCTTAGAAACGAATCAGGAATGTGGTGATTTAGGGGTTAGGGGAAGAACCAAGGGTGCCAAATTGAGAGCCCATGCCAGAACAAAGCGTATGTTTAAACAATCCTTGGATGCGAATAACGAGTGTGGCGGATACATTTCACAAACTCAGAAACCCCAAGGGCCAGTATCAACGGCTGTTTTACCACCTCAATCGCACATGTTTCATGATCATCCCAGAAAAAGTTGTAATCTACCAGTTTCTATAACTCGGAAAAGTATAGAACAATCGGCGGTAAATTCTATTACCGGCTGTAGCGAAGGCCACACATATACAAACCGGCTAAAACCCCCACCTAATCCATCAACACGAGCAATATTGGAGATTAGAGAACATGATCCTCATCAGTCCAATGGTTTTATCACTTCGGAAAACACATCCAACTCAAACTCTTTTGGACTTTTTATCACCACGGGGAGTGAGAAACAAGAGCTGCTTCCCACTTGTTCAGAAGTTCAAAAAAGATGTTGCCATCCCGCTTCGTTTGTACACATAAAGAATATGACGAATAACTTGGAAGATCAATACTATAGAGAAAATACCACCCTAAGGCGGTCTGTTTCGGTTATAGAAAAAAAGAGCCCTTCCACTAGAACTCGCTATGTGACAGAGTTGAAGTTGAATCTAAGCAAAGGGCGCACTCAGCAGATGTGTAAAAACTGGCCTCCTGACAATAATGATCGCGAATCACCTTCCGAAGATAACGGAGATCACACAGACGTGGAAGACGTTCAGGTAAAGGCCATTTTATGTCGAGCAATGAGCGCAACTGAAAGTCAATGTCACGCGCTGAATGAGGTTGAGAGCAAAACAGGTCAAGATGTGGTGAAAATCATTGCACAGCCGGGGAGCACTAAAGCACCGACGGAGATATCATGTGGTCAGAATATTAAACACAAAAAAATGGAACCAAAATTAACATTCCAAGAGCGCCCCAATATGTGTGCTTCGAACGAAGTTACTTTCACGAATGAGAAAACCATTGACGAAAAGAATAATCCGCGGGAATCTACTCGTGAACTAAAACGCTCCGTGGGTCAAATCGGACCGGTGCCGAGCCTGGTTGAACCTAAGCGTCCATTTACTTCACAGGTCAATACTAGAGAGGAAATGAAAAACACTACAGAATCATTACTGGGAATCTATTCCACACAAATGGCAGCTCATGTTAATATCAGCCCAGGAACTGTCTCAGTCTCTTCCTTGTTAGGTCCAGGGCTACAGGTAAGCAATTCAGAAACGCAGGCATCGCCTTCTGTATTGAAAAAAACCGCTGAGTGGCCCAACGGTTCTACGAGGACCGCGGATTTTAACAAATTCATGAGGGAGACGGCTTTGAACAACATACAATCTGTTCTTAACGAAACAAACCAAGGAGCATGTTTTGATGATTCTAGTGTAACCAGTGCTTGTACTATGATGCGGTCTTCCATTGCGGAGGAACCATCGGCCCATACCATAGTGGAGGGAGTCAGCACCGCTACTGTGGTTTGCCCGGCTGTTGGAAAAACATCACGAGGGACACAATCGGAGCAACTGGAACAGGTTAAAGTAGTTCGTGATATGCAAATTCAAACTGGGTTTGTGGAGATACCAGAGGGAATTCCTCTGCGATTTATTTCGGCCTATGAGGTAAGCTGGGTGAAAATCGCATTAGTGTATCGCACTGACGCCAGCACAATTAGTCTTTATTTGATTCTAAGGCGTTTCCAGAAAACCAAATAGATGAGGAACTCAGCTACAGGATGCATTTTATCGTTATTTTATTTCACACCGCTTCGTTAGTTCCGTATACACATTAAAAGCGTTTTAGGCCTGCGCAATAATTGTCTGCAAGCAGCATGTGCCATAAGCCCCTCTCTATGTTATCGTAAACAACTTAGGTTCCCACTGAGACGTGCTAGAATACATGAAGTTTGTAATTCGTAATTAGGGAATTTCTTTCATCACCTACCGTCAGGAAAAGCTGAAACAACACGATTACACAAAAGACCTTGCGCGAGGGTAGGAAATCCCTAATCAGGGGGCTGCGTCACATTAGCCCGGTTAGGCTCCCTGGCTGAGGAGCTCGGGATGATTGAAACCGATGGTTAGAGACACTGAGTGATATGACTGAGTGTCTTAAACAATGGTGTTCCTGCATCTTATCAATTTCTTTGCAAATTCAGACCACCGAAATTCTCCATTTTCTGTTCCACTCTGCATCCAATTCTCCTGTATTTCTCCTACTGTTCATGCAAATGAGTAGCCAAAAGACAGCAACCAAAACCGGCTCACGAAAGTGCATTTTTAATGGTTACACAAACTAAAACTAAAACTGAAGCATAAAAGAGCTGTCTGTTCTTTGAAAAAGACAATTTTGAGAAAATTTAGTGATGAAAATGTAGTTCACCACTGATGATTGTATCATAGTGGCAAAAGCCAAATCAGCTAGTTACACTTTGATAGTTTTGTTGATCAAATTTTTAAACCTGATTGAACTGAAGAAATATTTAAAATATAATAAACTAAACTACATACGTAGGTAGCTCCATTATGGCGACGAAATATGAGTCATTTACAACAAACGTTATTTCCTTTGTCAAAGTCAAAAATCGCTTTATTCATACTAAAGGATGGTTTCTCATCTCCTTGAACACCAGGATCATTTATCATTGCATAAGGTCAAAAATAAAAAGTAGAATACAGCATCGTAAATTTAAAAGAAACGTGGTGTAAAAGTTTGAAAATGGATATCATTTGCTTAGGAAATTCAAAGAATATTATCTAACAGATGCCTTGTGTGCCAGAAATCTCGAAATATATGAGATAACGAACAAACGGTAGGCAGTGATACGAGTGTACACTAGTTTATAACGGCACCTAGTTAAAAAAGTGGACACGCATTGTTCAAGTTCTGTGTATAATGGGTGAGTGATGCCTGATAGAATATTCTTACAGAAGTTTTCGCAAGAGGTAAAATGTTTGTCGGCAATAAAGTTAAGCAAGTGTAAATAGGGAACATCGCTTGTGTGCGAAATCATTTGAATAGACTGGCGTAGGATTGTGTAATCTTTGACTTTATACCGGCAAATGAAACTGGGGAGCAGTAAAGAAGATCAGTAACAATACCAGAGTATACAAATCGGGTGAATAAATACAGTGAAAGAGCGAAAGCGGGAAATGAAGAAACACACTCGTCGAATCTTTTCGTAAGTAGAGTTTAAATGTAAATTCCAGATAAGACCTTGGTAGATAGTAACACCGAGTTATTGCGAACAACTTACTGTTTACCGGAACACAGTACAGAGCGACGTCTTACAAAAGAATGTAGCCGTTCTTTTTTGACTCGCGAAAAGGTGAGATCCGTACATATAGATGAGTTAAGACCATAGGCTTAAGGCAGACAACTCGGTTTCCAGAGGCAAGAAACGGAGATCATCTAGGAATTCGGAACCCATATTGACACCCTCAGCATACTTGTTAGTAAGATTGTCCTGGTCACTGGGTAGCTCTCGAATATAGAAAGAGAAAAGAAAAGGCGACAGAATTGCTCCTTGGAGCACCCCTGAATTGACCGGTGGCAAGTCAGACGTTTTTCCAAGAAACTTCGTGAAGCTTGTTCTACCGGTAAAATAATCTTGGAGTAGAGAGAGGATAGTACGGGACAATACATCACCTTGGAATAGAGGCAAAAACCTGTCCCTGTCGACACAGTCAGAAGCATTACTATAGTCCAGGAAACATGAAGTGCTATACCATGCATGTCTAGTGATTGTAAAACTGAGCTTACCAAATGCACAGGGGCGTCAAAGGGAGAAAGTTCTTTGCGAAAAGCGCATTGAATGCGACCTCACTGCTCAGTGTTAGGAAATGTTACTGAGCATAAAAATTTCGACAACTTTCTAGGAAAACATAAGGAGAGGTGCTTGCTGTGATGGCACCATGCTTTTCTTCAAGCCGGGGTTAAATAAATATATATATATATATACATATATACATATA